CCTGGATATGTCCATAGTTAAGAGGTACTAGGAAGGAAATCCTTCCTGGGAAAACACTGTCAAATACATTCACCAAATATTCTGAAAAAAAAAAAAAACAAAAAAAAAAACAACAACAACAAAAAAAAAAAAAACAGGAAAAAAAAAACAAAAAAACAAAAAAACAAAGTCAGCAAAAATGCAAGGGGCCAAAACCTTTCTGAGAACAGCAAATGATGATAAAAATATGGACTTTGTTCTTTACTATGTGTATGTTTATTAGCTTAATGCATTTTTGCTTTTTTTCACACACAGTGAAAAGGTCCTTGGTCAGATATCAAAGAATAGAATTATTTGTGTTTCAGAGTAATTTGGTCTTCTAAAGCTAATCCAAGCAACTTGAAAAATTGTGTTCTGGGCCACCCTGACATGGTTTAAATGTCGTCATCAATGGGAGATTGAGGACACCTCAGGCCTTTAGACACCTGAAAAGGTGTACCTGAAAGGTGAACAACATTAACAGAAGCTGCATTATCTACGGCTCCCCAAAGTAATTGCCTCCTCCTGAATCAAGAGTGCCTCGCTTTGACCTGCATTTTGTACTGGAGTCAACCAAGGAAGGGTGACACCACACAATCTTTTCATAGCAGCCTCTCCATCAGCACAGAATCCTGGTTGATCAGACTAGTGAGCAGTTCGCTTTTCCTCCCCACAGCACTGCAGCACTTCTGTGTGTTTTCCGCCCTCCACACTTTCCTGCTTTTATGACAGTGTTGTCTGTGACTTTTCGTGCAGAGTAATGTGCTGAATCTAAATGTCACTTCCCACTCCAGCCAGAAACGTGTTTGGAACCTATGGGGGACAGTGTCCTTGGATATATCGTGCATTCACAGCTGGTCTGCACTCTGCCATCTGCCTGGCTGGTGACACCCCAGACACAGATGTGACACCCTTCCAGGTAAATTTGTGTTGGCAGGCAACTCATTCTTTTGCCTCACAGGCACTGACAGTGGCACCCAGACACAATGTAGGCTAAGAGCCAGAGCACTGTGCAACACCCCATGCAAGGATGCTCTCCTTAAGTGGTGCTGCCTTCCTGTTATTCATCAGAGGTGTAAAGGTGAAGCAGGTACTGGCTCTAGACAAGGCTGTTTGTGCCATCTTTCTAGAGCAGGAATATTGCAAGTCTGCATTTGGGAGCTCACTGTATAGCTGTTTTCCCAGAGAAGAGAACAAAAAGGTTTTGAAGAGTTGTTCGCTGTAGCAGTGTTGTGCTGTAGTTCATGTTTTTACAGTACATGCTTTGCATCAGTGCAGTCTGGTGCCAGAGAAGCACTATCTTAGGTCAGTATATTGTCCAGATTGTCAGGGTGATGCCTGAATTTCCCCCCCATATATTAATGAGGTCAGCAACTTGTCACTTCTGCTGTCATACAGTTAGGAAGTCAGGAATCTGAGTGCAGAGGCTCGTGAGACTTTATATGTATAGTTTGAGCACATTCAGGAAGAATATATTTAATCTATTTTGCCTGCAAATTGCCTTGATCCCAGAAAAGATTGGCTTCCATAATGAGTGTATTAAAACTAAATCATATTCTTTCTGGCACAGTTTTTTTTCTGCTTTAGAACTGCAAATGCCATCAAGATTTTGTTGATTTGTTTTTTTAATAGGGAATAGAGTAACAACTTTAACTTTTGTATGCTGTTTGGGATTCGTAGTTTGTAACATCTGACATTTAATTGTGTAGTTGCCTGGACTAGCACAGAAGGCCAGCACTGAGCAGCAGACATCCAGTTGTATAGAGGTGGTAAGTAAAGAGAAACCTGCTGGGGTTTGGGTTTGCTCAAACTGCAATGAGACCTTGGAAACTTAGTAGCTGAAATTACTCAAAGCTGTTGAGAAAGGGGCCTGGTGATCAGTAAGGGGAGCATTTGAGCAATTCTAATGTTAATTGTCAATATCTAAGGCGTGGTCTTTTTAATAAAAAATTCACTAGGATAAGAGAAAAGTAAAAGGAAGAAAAATAAAAAAAAAATAGAACCAAAACCTAAATGGAGGAAAAAATTGCAATCTGTCCTTGTTTTATTAGCTCGTCAGAAGAAATCAGGCCGTGGTATGCTTGAGTACATAGAAAGGCTTTCAAGGGTTGTCACTGTCAGCCACATCAATGGATGAACACAGGAAATTTTGTTTGCATTTGACACTGATGAAAAAAAACAGCTTCTTAATCTTAAAGTCTTTTTGGGTTTAGATTTTTATTATTTTCATTTTACCACATGTTCTTATTGTCCCTACATGGTGAATGGTCTTAGCTTTAGTTTGTGGTTTTGTTTGGGTCTTTCGAGTTTGTTTTGTTTTCTTTTTACCTTTCCCTGGAGTAACAGAGTAATCTAGTATGGTCCTCTCAAACTTGAGGGGGGCACAAGCTCTATTAGGCTAGTATGGGGAATACAAAAGCTGTAAGTCTGGGAAAGGTCAGAAGAATACACAATGTAGTAGTATAACTTGTTTCTTAAGTTAGTAATATCAGCAGGGATCCAGAGTGGGGAGAAATTAATGGATTTTATGAGCAGGACAGCCTTGAGATTCTGCTCTCTTTGAATTGCATGCTGGAGACATAACACTTGAAGAAATGAGTAATTAACAGGAAACTTTTTTCTGGACCAATATCCCAACTGTGACAGAGGTTAGTAAATAAAGAGGGTAAGAGCACTAGCTGATAATCTCATCAAAGTGGTCCTTTAGATGTAGGGATACATATTGAGAAAGCAAGAAAATTACAGCCTGAAAAATATTCCAGGCCGGAGCTTTTCAGCTCTGTTCCCAGCCGATAAGCTGGTCCAGCTCAAAGCTAGGGAGAATTTCTCCCAGGGTGATCTCTTGGTCAAAATAAAAAGGAATTAATAACAAAGATAGAACACCTGTTGTAGTGTGTGACCAGGCCCTGGGAATGGGGTGTCTTCTCTCTGAACCCATCACCTTTTCTCTGCTCTTGGAATTGCGAGTCATGCTATAAAACCAAGTCTGTTCCTGAATAAACTTGTCTCTTTCTTTCCTATCATGAAAGATGACCATGTAGCTGTGCATCTTTTTTCCGCCGCACTTAAAGGGTTAAAACCCCTTTCCACGGCTACACTTTAGATTTAGTGCTTTGTAGGCTAGAGACTCATTGTATCGGAAGGGATGTCTTAGGACAGGGATGAATTAGGGAGACGCAAATGGATTTTTCTTCTTTGTATGTAGCAGTTGCTTTCTGTAGACAAAACATTTTTCATGTTTTGGGATTTGCTTTAGCATTACAAATCATAATGTTGAGGAATAGGTGAGTGGGAGTGATATATGGACAAATGAGTGATGGACATGTGTACTACAGGGACTGTCATAGTGGAGATATCCATTAATGTGTGGTTAGCTGTCCTCAGTGTGCACCTATGTTATAAAATGCTGCTGGAAAACATGCATGAAATGGAATAAAATATCCACCAGCAAAGAAAGTGAACTGAATACACTTCTCTGCAGCTGCAGAGATGAAGATAATACATGTGGAACAGGGGGAATGGCAAGTCATAAAAAAGAAGAGATAAAAAGGAATCATAGGTCTTCAAGGCCAGACTGAGACATTCTTATATAAAATATCAGAACTGAAATATGCTGTGAAACAATTACTTCACTGTTGTATTTTTAGACCCCATCACTTTTGCAGGCTTACTCTGCTGGAGTCACTGTGACTAAGGTAGAAAAAAAATGCCAGAGTCAATGAGAAAAAAGCTTGCCAGACTTCACAGAGATCTTTCCAAGCCCTTCACCTTCAAGGACTTTCCTCCGTCTCTGTGTGAGTAATGATGTGTGTATTTGGCCATGATGAACACAGGCAAATTCTCCATATTGGAATTATGTTCATTTCATAGACCCAGTGGGTCCTGAACTACAAAGGGAGGACTGCAGGCATAGCCAACAGAAATGAGACATGGATTGAAAAGTCATTATGACTGATTTTTAGAGTCACGAAGTTATACGAATATTACAAAGACAAATGTCATAACTTTCAACATACCCTTGTGAAAGGAAAACATATTACACAAAAGAAAGAGTATACACTCAGAATTGTGTCAAGCCTTTGAAAACATTGGGGTACACATGGACATGGGTGGCACAGCCATTGTTGTTGTGCGTTTGACATAGGTTAATAATTTGAATCAAATTAGAAGTGATTACCTAATAGAAATATAATGCTTATTGTATATCACAGGGATGTCAGGAATTTACTGTTAAGCAAACAGCAGAGACAAAAAATAAAAGGTGAATGGGAAGCAAACACTGGAAACACTAGGATAGAAAATAAAGGGTCTTCAGTTCACTGCTGAAAATGTCTTGTGCAGATAGGCCACTGATACAATACTCTAAGTCAGACATAACCTGCTTTAAGAAAAACAAACACTTCCTTCTTGACTAAAGTGATCACTAAGGCATGATTTTCCTCATGCAACATGGTATATAAGACATATACTACGCTAAGGTCGTGAAATTGAACAAAGAATTCTTAAGTTTCTCAAATGGGTCTCAGTATATCGAATGCCTCAATGGAACCTGAGAAGTGAACAGATACGGTCAGCATGGCCAAAATAATCGTGCGCGGCGGGCGAAAGACTGCCACGTCCCCGCGCAGAGGCACTACGGCAGCATTAGAGAGTAAAAAAAAAAAAAAGGCGTGTCCATTCTCTCCAAGACCGCAGGGGAAAAAGCAGGGAAAAGCGGTTCGGGGAAACCGAGGGGCTGGTGTGGTGCACTGCGAGCGAGGCGGGGAGGCCGAGACGGAGGCGGGGGCGCCGAGACGGAGGCGGGGGCAGGAGCGGAGGGAGCAGCCGGGGCCCGGGGGAGGCTCCCGCGAGCGGTGTAAGGGGCGGAGGCGCAGGCGCGGCCCGCGCCCGCCTTGCCCGCCCCTGCTCCCAACCAGGTCGGACCACAGCATATAAAAGCCGCGGCGCGGGCGGCGCTCCAGCAGAGCAGCAGCGAAAGCAGCGGCGCAATCATGTCTGGTCGTGGTAAAGGCGGCAAGGGGCTCGGCAAGGGAGGCGCTAAGCGCCACCGCAAGGTGCTGCGCGACAACATCCAGGGCATCACCAAGCCGGCCATCCGCCGCCTGGCTCGGCGCGGCGGCGTCAAGCGCATCTCGGGGCTCATCTACGAGGAGACGCGCGGTGTGCTCAAGGTGTTCCTGGAGAACGTGATCCGCGACGCTGTCACCTACACGGAGCACGCCAAGAGGAAGACCGTCACGGCCATGGACGTGGTCTATGCCCTCAAGCGCCAGGGTCGCACTCTCTACGGCTTCGGCGGCTAAACTTCTGCCTTCCTACCAGACTATCTAGACAAAGACCCAAAGGCTCTTTTCAGAGCCACCCACATTTTCTTTAAAAAGAGCTGTATTGCTTTATTTGCGGTTTACCGTTGTTTTTGTGTCTCCTATTTTTTTTTTTTATTTTTTTGTTCTGTTAAAACAGCACCTGTTTTCATTCTCCTTTCAGTAGATCGTGATACTGCTCCGTAGCGGCTTTCAGGCGAGGAAAATACCCAAAACCCATACAGATAAAAGACTAAGTTACCCTGCCCTCTAGCAACTCACGGAAATCGCGATAGCCAGAAACTCTTGACAAGGTGCCGCAGCGTTTAATTCCTTATTCCCTATTTCCCGCCCGTGTGTGAAAGGGAACTAGAGAAACAATTGCACGGCCGACAGTCAGTGTGTTTAACCCTTCCAGATGGCGCTGGCAAGCGCGGTAGCACGGGCCCCGGGCCAAGGAGGGTTCAGCGCCCGCTCAATTTCCAAAAGCCCGCGCAGACCACCATTGCCTCCGCCAATCACATTCCGCGTTCCCCTCCTCCCTCGCCCATGCCACCACAGCAGCTCCCGCCGCGCCGTGAACAGTGCTCCAACCGATCGCGGCCTATGACGAGAACGCAGCCCACCAGAACCGGCCCGCGATGCCCATAGCAAAGCCGCGCCGAACACGCGCGCCCCAAAATAAACACAGACTTAATTCCCCTCCCCGCTCCCCTGATCCGCAGGATTCTCAGGCTCTTTTTTTTTGAGGCTGTGGGTGGCTCTGAAAAGAGCCTTTGGGTTTTGCTTCTGGGCTCGGGACGCTTTCCCCGCCCGATTTACTTGCTCTTGGCTTTGTGGCTCTCAGTCTTCTTGGGCAGCAGCACGGCCTGGATATTGGGCAGCACGCCGCCCTGCGCGATCGTCACCTTGCCCAGCAGCTTGTTGAGCTCCTCGTCGTTGCGGATGGCGAGCTGCAGGTGGCGGGGGATGATGCGCGTCTTCTTGTTGTCGCGGGCCGCGTTGCCCGCCAGCTCCAGGATCTCGGCCGTCAGGTACTCGAGCACGGCCGCCAGGTACACCGGGGCGCCGGCGCCCACGCGCTCCGCGTAGTTGCCCTTGCGCAGCAGGCGGTGCACGCGGCCCACGGGGAACTGCAGCCCGGCCCGCGACGAGCGCGACTTGGCCTTGGCGCGCGCCTTCCCGCCCTGCTTCCCGCGGCCGGACATCTTCCCTCGCTCGCTCTGCGAACAAACTCCCGCTCACAACGACAAACAGAAGACGAGTAATCGCCGCCCTGAGCCCTCCGCCTTTATATCCCCTCCCTTCTCGCGGCCGCCGCCTCCTGATAGGCCGCGGCTCCTGTCGGGGCACGCGCAGCCCAATGGCGCAGCGAATCTCACGCGGACCAATCGCGAGGGGCGCAGCGCCGAGAGGCTCCGACCACGCTCTCCGCGCGGCCAATGACGAGACGGACTGGGCGGGCCTCGGGCCGCGGCCCCGCCCACGACGAGCGCTCGCTCCCGCCGCCGCCGCCGCCGCCGCCGCCGCCCGGACCGGTGGGGCTGAGCTGCCCCGTCCTGCACCGTGTTTGCTCTCGCGTGTTTTATGGTTCTTTTAAAGGCCTCCGGGCTGCACACTGCGGATCGGGAGATCTGAGTAGAGGAAATTAAGAGAAAGAGCGAGACAGTGGGACGGTGACAGTGAGCGGGAAAAGGGGGGCGGATGGGACACGCAGAAACTGACCAGGCAGCAGTGGCCACAGCCTTTTTGTCGGGACCTTATACAGGGGCTCTTCACTTAAAACCCAAAATGCATCTAAACCTTCGGTTATGAGCTTTGATTCCTAGACCTATCCCTTGTTTCACAACTGTTCAATAAAGCTTACGTATCAAGGTATTTTCAATAAAAATCTAAAAGCTCAGGAAGTTTTTCATTCTTGGGCTAAAATGACTGCATTTAATATCTCTTTTTAATTTCTTTCTGAGGTTTTTCAACTAATACTCATCCCCCAATATATCTTGCATATTTCATACGATATTTTAAGGCATTTAAAAATAAATATAAATATTTTCCAGGAAAACTTTTCGTTCTTGGCCCTCCATATATATCCACTAAAAGCAAAAATTTCATACTTGAGGGATGATAAAGTGACATAAGAAAGACATAATCATAAGCTTGCATAATGTAAAATACGTTTTAAGCCTCGTATGGTTTATTAGTCAAGATAAATTTTGTAAGTTATCACCTCTATAGTATACATTACGGCTTTTTACAAGACCATGAAATATTCAGTAAGAGCAGACACAAAAGGGTAGGCGGTCTGACAAGGGCGGGAATTTTAAAATTTGAATCCACCAATGAAACTCAGTGCGTATCCGTCTGCCTATCAGAGAAGGCAGCGGTACTATAAATATCCCCCGAATAGGCTCAGCATTTTACTGCTGTTACTGGGTTCTTCCTGGCTGCTCTGAGTGGGAGCGATGGCGCGCACGAAGCAGACAGCGCGTAAGTCGACGGGCGGGAAGGCGCCCCGCAAGCAGCTGGC